CTGGCTAGGGGTCTCCGCGCCCCACCCCCGGGCCACAGGGGGCGGGAGTATTCTCCCGGCTCGGCCCCTTCCCGCCCGCACCCGGGAGGGCGGCTGTCACCCGGCAGCCCGCCCTTCCTGGCGGTCTGGAGGATGGGCTCCCGCGGCTGTTGACACGCACAGTGCGTGGCCCGAGAATCCGGCCGTGTCGGCCCCGGGTTTCTGGGAACCGGTTTTGCTGCTGTGTCATTTTGTACCAGCCCCTCCTTTCCCTGCTGCCCGCCGCCCCGTTCTTCCTACGCCCCTTTGTATGGTGTCTTCTTCGTGAGTGTCCGTTTTCCTCGCGAAGCCCACCAGCCAAATGTCATAATGTTCCCGAGGTGCACGGGGAAAGGGAGCGGGCCGGGGCTTAGCTTGGCCAAGCAACGGTAAACAATCAGAGTGCGGGTGGACGGGGCTGGTGGTGGGAAAATAAAGTTTAATGATGAAGACAGTGGGAAGACGTGATATTCTCAGTCTCTAGCAGGCTGCATGTAGAGGCGGCGATTAGGTTGGGTGGTAAATAACACTCGTTTAATACTGAATCTACCGACTTTTATGTAGAGGTGTCATTCAAGCAAGGTAAGGAAATGAAATGGCTTTTTCAACTTCCACCTCACTCTTCCTAGACTAACTTTTTAAAAAAAATAGAGTGGCCTTATTCCAAACGTTGAAATTCAATTTGCTCATTGCAGATAGGTTTTTTAGAGCTTATGCCGTAGTTGAATGGTAGGTTTTGAATGGGTGATTATCACATATTTCTGAAATTAACAGGGAGGCAAATTTAGTTTTTAGAAAGGTTCTGGTCTCGTTAGAAGCCTTGCAGCTTATGTTTTCTTGTTACTTTTAATAATTAAAAATATCTGTTCTCTTTTAGTTATTAAACCATGATGAGAAGAACTGGTGGGCGTTGATGGGTAACTCTGGGGTCTTGTAAAGCAAGCTGTTAAGTTTCACTGTATAGAACAGCAGTAGATGGTTTGTTGTTGTTGTTGTTGTTTTTTTTTAATTTGTTGACTTAGATCCCAAAGCGTGGCAAGGAATTTTAGCTTAGAGGTATATTTTCTATGTTTTAGAAATTGTTCATTCATGAATAAGATCAATATATTTTAAACGTAGTAGCACTTTATTGTCTTTAACCAATAACATTGAAAGTCACAGTGTTCATAGACTTTAATGATCAAGTGAAATCAAGTGGAGAGGTAAATAGTTCAGAACTTTATTTTAGAAATTGGATGTTTTGACCCAGCATCTGCGTGAGGATTAGTGCTTGTAATTACAAACGTGTCAGAGGTCAGACGTGTATGTGGAAATAGCTCATTCTGTCAAAGTAGTGCTGACAGTGGAGGAAAATGTTACAGTTTATGAAAGATATTAAAGGTCTTGATCATGTTTTTAGTATCTGAGATGGGTATAGTGAATAAAATGTATTCCATCACTTGTCAGGTTGCTTTTCCGAAAATGAAGGAATTTGGGTTCTTTATTGTCCTTGTCGCCTTCTCCATGGCTTTTGCTCTTCAAAACAAAAAATACGCCGGACAGGGGACCCCGCAGGTAGCGCGATTTCCTTTGGCGTGGCTCTCGGGCCCACAGGAGCACTGTCTTTCGTTGTAGGGTGAAAGGTCTCGTCGTGGGCTGTGTATGCGTTTGTATCTCCCTGTGCATTTGAAGGTTGGCGGGGCTGGCCGGAGGTTTCCCCGGATATGTGGGTGTGCGCCTCTCGGGAGGGGAGGGCTGGGGAAGGGAGGAGGAGGAAGAGGGAGGTTACTGGCGGCGGCGGCTGCGGCGGCCGGGGCTTGGGCTGTCGGGGAAGCTGCTGAGCTGTGATGGTGATGACGAGGTGAAAATGGCGGATCTTTCGAAATACAATCCCAGCCCCTGACATACCAGAGGCGGCGGCAGCGGTGGCGTAGCCACCCGGGCTCCCTCCTCGGCCGCGGGGTCCCCAGTAGCGCCGCACTTCGGGCAAACTGGGAAAGGAAACAGCTGGCCAGAGCTACCGTGCACAGGCAAAACAAGCACCGCCCGGGCTTGGAATTGCTCGGGACCTTCTGGAGCCCCCACCTCAGCGCCAGAGGGAGGAGAAAGCAGCAGCCGCTGGAGGTAGAGGAGAAGGGGGTACCCCAGGGGGCTTCTCTGTCTTGAGATCTCTTTATTTATCGGGAGTGGGGGAAAGAATTGCGTTGTGGATCAAGGAATGACTAGCCCAGAGTGCGAAGAATTAGAAGCCTCGTAATGACATCAACATTATTCTTTGAGTGTTAAGAGGGCTCGAGTTTGCTCTGATACCTAAGGCTGCTGCTGAGGCCTAGAGGAACCGCTAGCACTGATCCCGATTTTCTGATTTAATATTCAAAATATCCACTCTGGCGGTTATTGGTTTGATGATGTTCGGCCGTTTATGGGGTTGTATGTTCCTTTAGGGAGGCAGAGCATTGGCATTTTATTCTGCATTTAAGATCTTGTCTTAGATCATAGTCTGTAACTTGTTGGGGTGTGGATGCTCACATTTTTGAGCATATGGACCAGTTTTGTAACAGTTAGAAATGCTGTCTTTTTCTTTTATGACTCTGTCATTCATAAAGTGACCCCTTTGCCCCTACCATTGGGAAATAACAATTGAGATACTGTCAGACATGTTTTATATTTATGTCCCCCCCACCCCCCGATCTATTTCATGAATTCAGAGCGTAAAGTTATAGAAAATTTTGCAGTAGATTTTATAATCCAAGTGAATTACGGCTCTGGGAGCTCTATTTTGGTTCACAAGTTTTACCTTTATTGTTAAATAGGAAGTTGTGGTGGCTTGATGCATGCTTCTGATGTGAGTACATTAACTTGATAAAGATGAATTGAGAACTCTTATTCTAAATACTGGAGCCCTTTGTTAAAGAGCTGGAGAATTGGATTGATTGACTTTACAACAGCTATAGTTTAATTTTGTTAGGTTACCTAAAGATCCATGTATGTTTTAGATTGTGCTGCAGATCCCTAAGGTTTCTGTCTCCTTAAACACAACAGTTGTGTTACCGAAAAGTTTCATGTGAATCCAATTTTTATGTATTAATTTTGAGCCCTCTGTTTTTTTCCATCTTTTGTAGTGGGAGACTGGGTCAGTGATATTGAATGTATGAGAGTGAACAGAGAGGTGAATATTTAAGAAATGCCTAGTGATAATCTAATGATTAGCAATAATTTCCTTATCCAAGCTTTCTACAAAGAGATGATGTCATGGTATGTCATAAGCATCATACATCATGTATTTTATTCACAGGGGAAATATTTTTGTGTATGCGTGTACATAGCTTGGATATCGTGGCTTTCACTCATTAGAAGAATAAGAGTCCAAAAATTTTAGGGGAACTAACTGAGAGGTACTCAGAAGGTTTAGTTAATGAATTTTTAAAAATCATTTGTCTGATGTTCTTATAATATCCAGTAGGAATTTGATTCTGATATTTTTTTTGTCTTTATAGATTTTATGTTGCAATTATTTGGTCTGTGCCAGTCCAGCTGCCAAGTTAGTAGTAAGACTAAGAATTTTAAAAACATTAAAATAGGGAGATTAAAATGCTTTTTCATTGGCTTTCTTTTTCTTTTAACCACAGAGGGCTGTTGTCTTTTTGTGATTCTTCTTGCTTGTCTTTAAAGACCAGTTTTTAGATTGTGGTTAGAACAATTTTCTATTAATAATAAGAAGCGTGTTAGAAAGAAATGAAGGAAGAGTTATGCCACTGGAGATAGTCTGGTGTCTTTTTGTGGGGGTTGGGGGTGGAGATCACACATTTTCATTACTTTTTTCAAGTATTACTGTTGGTTATATATATGTTGGTTTTACATACTGTTCTGAGGGTAAGAGGATACCTCAATATTATTGCTTCAGGGAACTTTCAGTTTTGAAGCCTTGAAGGTGAAGTTGGAAAGATGGGGCTTAGTAGGATTTTAAGGGCTTTAAGGCCTCGAGAATTAGAGAAAATTTTTAAATAAGAGTGACAGCCTCAGAGATGCACTGAGGAGATGAGTCCTGTAGCTTTTATGTAGGATCTGTTATAGGTTAGAGATGTAGGTAAAAATACCATAGTAGGCTACAGTTTTTGGAGATTTGGAAATTCTTGGTCGCAGTGGGGAGACATTGGAAGGTATAATGTATGTGATATATGACAGATTAATAGTTCTGTGGAGAGACATGCAAGATGACAAGACCTTAAACCCTGCTGTTTGATAGAATATTGAGTACCATTTAAAAAGAGAAATCAAGTCTACGCCATGCCACCCTGAACAAGCCTGATCCTGTCTGATCTCGGAAGCTAAGCAGGGTTGGGCCTGGTTAGTACTTGGATGGGAGACCACCTAGGAAGACCAGGTGCTGTAGGCATAAAAAATTTAAAAAAATAAATAAATAAGGGATTGTAAGCTGACTAGGTCCTTGCAATCTGTGAGGTCAACCAAGGGTTGCCTCACCTAAAAAAAAAAAAAAATGAATGAATGAATGAATGAATGAAAAGAGAAATCAGAAGACGCTAATTTAAATGAAGAGGAAAATAATTTTCATTTGAATTACAGTATGCCACATAATTATCTTCACAGTAACCCTGCAAGTAAATTGAGGCTTAGAGAGATTATTGTTTAGGTTTACACATTAAACAATTAGGAGATTCAAGATTTGGTAATGGGTATTTCTGATCTGAATTTCCCACCATGTTAGTCTTAAGCATGAATAATGTATAGTCCCCCTTTAAAAGGGAAAAAGTATTGTAGATCCCCAGTATTAGTCTAAATAATTCTATTTTAGTAAAATGTTTAATTTTTAGATGTGTATACAGTCCTTATGTTTATTGTTTTTATGCAAGTATAAAACAAAAGTAAATTTATGAATGAACTATAAACAAAATTGTAAAACCAGTAAAACAGTTAAATTTAGGGTGATAGGTGATGATTTTTTGCTGACAAGAAATTTTTCTTTGTGTAGTGAATATACTATTGTCTGCCTTGGCAGGGCATGCAGTTTTCTATGTACTGTATGTATCCTATGATAACTCAATTTCTATATCACTTTTTTGTATTCGAATGCTCCAAAGCTTTCTTTCCTAAATCACAGATTAGGGGGTTTGGCTTTCATTTGGCATAAATATGTCATTTTCCTTATAAGATCCTTCTGTGCCTTTTTCTTAAGCTTACCCTAATTCTAGTGTCATTGATTGTAGACACGAGGTGGTTATCCAGATGATCCACAATATGCTTTTAAAAAATGTTATCAAAATCAAAAAATTTTCAAGTCTTTGTCAGGACTCATGGCTTACAGTCTACTGCTCCCAATTTAGTTTGAGAAATGTAGGCCTGTATCTAGTTTTTGAGTTGCTGATGTTTGATTTTAGAAATCAAAGCTAAAATCCAAATGGTATAGTGAACCAGTTAGTGCTGGTGTTAATCTCTAGGTACAAAAGTATAGTTCTTAAACACTCAGATATTTCTGTCTAAACATCTGCAAATTGTTCATCTGTAATATGATGACAGGTCATATTATTACGTTCAAGAATTAAAATAGTTGTTCACCCAAGTTGTCCTCCAGCTGTAACTAAGAACAGTGGTTCAGTACTGGTAATAGTCTATAAGAAACTCTTTAAAAAATGTAAAAGCATAGAGTATTTGTTATTTCTATCTTGTTATTTTTTCATGTTATATTTAATTCATTTATTTTAATTGTCTCTATCCTAAATTGGATCCTCCAATTACCTCTGTCTTGAACTAATTACTGTAATAGCCTTCTAATTGATCTCCCTGCCTCCAGCCCAGTACAATACTGATATGAACTTAATCTTTCCAAAGCACAGCTGTGATCACGCCATTCTTTATTGATTTCTAAGTTCTGTCAAGGCAAGGTCTTCGGTAAATTTTCCATAATGCCCTCCACAAAGTTGGGAAGCAATAAGTATTTGCTAATTAAATGATTGATAAAAATCATAAGCTAGTTAAAAGGTAAGAGAAACATAGATTTTAAGATGGAATGTAACTGGAGAGTATATTGGTTAAAAGCTAATCTGAGTATTTAAAAACTTATCTGAAAAGGAGTTTCTCAGTTTATTAGTGTGCCTTATGACAATGTTTATTATTTTATTTGAAGTGGTGCGATGTCTCAAAGCATTATACAAACCTATCCTAGTGAAATGGACAACCCAAAGTTATCTTTCAGAGCCCAGTGTAAATAATGCTAGTTTTAGATGACACCTCTTCTCCATGATTAATTTATTCATTCCTCAGGTTTGTATTGAGAGGTTATTCACTAGCTCTGTTCTAGGCACTGGGGATAGAAGATACAGTGGTGATAAAGACAGACAAGTCCCTTTCCTCATGGAACGTGCATTGTAAAGAAGTGGGGGAGGGAGAATCAGACTATAAACAAAGGTACATTCTAATTTTGATAGATGCTATGATGGAAATACCAGGATAATGGGATAAAATACCTAAGGCAGTCGAGATAAGAGTGGGGGAGTGCTATTTTAGATAGATCTTATAAATGTAATATAGTTCTTTAAGTCTCATTTGTCTTAAATCATTGAACTCCGTTTGACTGTGACAGGGGAAACCTCAACATATTAACGTTCAGGATTGTACTTTGCCTTTAGAACTTTGTTTTGTGAGCAAAAAATATTGGAGGAATGGGGATTGCCTTGTATGTTCTGTATTTTTTTCCTACCACACCTTGTAGAGCTGAGGTAAACAGAAGCTCCTCAGTCCTATTGGCTTGTGAAGATACTCTCTTTTCTTGGAGTGGTCCTCCACACAGTGATGATGAGGTTGCATGTGCTTGTACATATCTTCCATTCCTAAGGGATAAAATTAGAGTGATGATTCATGTAACTAGACGGCCATACCCTTTCCTGCCATGCCCACAAGCTCCTTTTGAGAGTTTCTCTTAGCATGGGCCACCCTGCCTATGACTCTGATTGAAACAGATATGGATGTCTAATCATAAAGCAGTTATCATTGTCTGCTGAGTAGCTTATGAGATGTGCTGACTCCAGAACTCTGCACAGCCCCCATACTACATAGAAACTGGCCAAACCAATCAGATCTTTTCTTATTAGAAGTTTGAACTTTATTCCTAGTTCAAAGGGAGACTCCTAGTCCTATAACTACTAGTCTCTTTTAATAGGACAAATAAAAAGACATGTTCTTCCTAATGATAGAGCTTCAAAATATATGAAGTAAAAATGCACAGTAGAGGAGAAATAGACAAATACACGATCATATTTGGGGATTTTAACAGCCTTTCTCAGTAATTGATAGAAGAGGAAAAAAGACTATAAAAGACCTGAACAACACCATCAACCAACTTGACCTAACTGACATTTATAGAACACTACCCTGGCAACTGCAGAACTCACTGCGGACCAGGTTAGGGGATAGGAAAAGACTGGCATCTGGTAGCGAATGTTCTTTTCAGGTGCACATGCAGTGTTCACCAAGATAGAGCGTGTACTGAGCCTTAAATAAGTCTCTTATTTCAAGATGGAGATATTAGAGTATTACATCCTCTGATAATAATGAGAGTAAGTTAGAAATCAGTAATAAAATAGAAAATCTCCAGATATTTGAAAGTTAAATAGCACACTTCTTTATTTTCCCTGTGTCAAAGATGAAATCATAAGAGATATTAGAAAACACTTGAAGCGAATGATAAAGAAATTGAAATTAGTAGAAAGTTAAAGCAGCATTGGGGTAAAAATGTAATGGTAAAGTGCTTATTTTAGTAAAGAAAGGTTTAAAATCAGTGATCTAAACCAGTTTGACAAACTTTGACAAAGGAGTCAGATGCCAAATATTTTAGGCTTTGTAAGTCATGTAAGTTTTTTAATATATGTATATATGTATATATTTATATCCTCTTGACTATTTCAAAATGTAAAAACCATTCTTAGTTGGAGAATAATACATAAACAGACCATGGGCCTGATTTGGTCTATGGGCTATAGTTTGCTATATGCTTCCATCTTAAGCATCTAGAAAAAGAACAAATTAAACCTAAAGTAAGTAGAAGGAAGGTGATAAAGATAACAGTCAATTAAATAAAAATGGGCAACTGGGACTATCAATGAAGCCAAAATGGTTCTTTGAAAAGATTGATAAAATTGGTTAATCTCCAGCTGGACTGATCAAGAAAAAAAGGAGAAAAGACAGAAATTACCAAAATGAGGAATGAAGAGTTGACATTTCTACAGGCATTAAAATAGAAGAATATCAGGTATAACTTTATGCTAATAAATTCAGCAACTTAGAGAAAATAGACAAATTCTTTGAAAGACACAGACTATCAGTTATCAAAGATCACTCAAGAAGAAAGAAAGAACCTGAATAACCTTACATCTATTAAAGAAATTAAATTTATAGTTAAAAACCTTTTCATAAGGAAGTTTTATATCTAGGTGGCTTCACTAGTGAGCTCTAGCACACATTTCAGGAAGAAATGGTAACAATTCTGTGCAGACTTTTTCTGAAAATTGAAGAGGAGGGAACATGCCCAAACTCATTTTATTAGGATAGCATTATCTCCAGACAGCTACTACCGGGGATGTGGGGGATTGGGGGAGAGTCCCACAGACCAATATCTTGTGAGTGTAGACAAAAATGCTTAACAAAATAGTAGCAAATAGAAGTTGGCAACATCCTCAGTTGGGATACAAAACCACTGCCTGCAGAACATTAACCTAGGCCTCTCCATGTCTGCTCTGTGGGTCTTGGGGGGTCTGGGGGAACTGATAGTACACATGGTGCTCATGTTCCTTGCTGTACTATGAACAAGTCCTGTGTCTCTGACCTAGGACTACTGTGTGGTCTGGCAGTATCTATGAAATAGTAATAGGCTACTTTGTTATCTTGCTTGGAGGGTCAAAAATCTCAGACACTTTGCAGTTCTTAAGATGAACTGCTTATTAAGAATGGAGTGTTGACAGACCTGGCTTTCTGAAAGGAAGAATGAGGGCCTTGCAGACTGGGTTAGGGGATAGGAAAAGACTGGCATCTGGTAGCGAATGCTCTTGTCCAAGTGGTGGGCAAGGGTGGGTGGCGGAGGCAGGGGGAGTAAGAGTCCTATAGTGTTCTACCCCTTCATGAATTTTTAGGGACTGAGCTGAGAGGTAGCCCAAATGGTGCTTTGGTTGTTGTACACTCAATCTCATGGCCCCAGGTGAAAGGCACTGTGGCTATAGCTGCTGAGTTAAAGAATCCCCAAAGGTGAGAAAATGGTGTCAAAAAATAGGATGCAGAGCTTTGGGTGAATTGAAAGCATTAGAAGTTTAGTTGAGCTGCAAGTGTGGGTGCTTGAAACTGAAAGTAAATGCACTATCAGGCCACTGTCTCCCTTCATGGCCTGACTGCTCCTTCCTATACCTTGGCTTCCGGTGCTTTAAGGAGAATGGTGAATAGAGATTGGGCTGAGGTCTCCCAGTCTTTAAGGGGAATCAAAGGCCATACCCACATGTCTAAATATACTGGAGGAACTTCAGGGAGAGAAGAGAGTCAACCTTTTATGGTTTTGTTGGATACTGGCACCCAAGTCATCCTACCTGTTCTATGGGAGATGGAATATTCAGATGTAACTGATGGGGCAAAGATTGCAGTAGAGAAGCTAATGTGACACTGTGGGTGGGGCCCTTTGTTGTTATATACTGTCGTGGCTTCCATTGCTAAGGTATAATTGCTGCGGATGTTTTTACATACCTGTACTGTAATTCTAAATACCCATAGGAGCCAAAGGAGATTCTGCTGATCAGGAAGAGCCACATGTAGAGAAGTGCTAGTTCTTTGGGGTCCCAAAACTCTAGTGATTCCTTTGAGCTGCAAGTTATTGTGACTGATGATTCTGCAGTGTATAAAGAACGCATGCAACTCAATAAGAAGACGAAAATAAAAACTCAACAACAGTATTTTTAAGAATGGCAAAAGATTTTAACAGGCACTTTTCAAAAGAAAATATACAAATAGATAATATACATATGAAAAGATGATTAACATCATTAATCATCTGGGAATTGCAAATTAAAACCACAAGAAGATATCACTTCATAACCACTAGAATGGCTAAAATTGAAACCAAAAATACCAATTGCTGGTGAGGATATAGAGCACTTGGAACTGTCCTACATTGCTGATGGATGTATAAAATCATGCAGCCAAGTTGGGAAATAGTTTCACTGTTTCATGTAAAGTTGAAAATAAATTTACCTTATGACCCACCAAGTCCAATTCTAGGTATTCAAAAGAAACGAAGATATGCATCCATAAAAAACTTGAACTTGAGCGTTCATAGCAGTATTATTCATAAGAGTCCCAAACTGGAGACAATCCAAATGTCCATCAAGAGGTGAATGGATAAACCAATCATGGTAGATTTATACAATGGACTATTACTCAATAATAAAAGGGAACAGAAGTCCTAATAAGTACAAGAATAAAGATAAATCAGGAGAAAAGCTCATATGACTCCTTTATGTCATGAGTACATAATATGAGATTTCATTTATGTGAAGTTCTAGAATGGGCAAAAGGGCAAAACTAATTTATAGTAATAGAACATTGATCAGTGGTTCTGTAGGGTGGAATTGACTGTAAAGGGGTAGACTTTTTTTTTGTCCATTTTAAAATGCCAGTGGTAAAAAATGTCAGTATAATTTTGTGATTAAAATTTTGAACTTTGGTATCATGAAACATATCCTGAGTTTGAATCTTGGCTCTTCCATTTACTAGCTGTAGGACCTTGGGCAAATTATTTAACCTAAGTTTCTTCATCTGTAAAATGGGGGTGATAATGATATCATCTCAGAGTGGTTGTGAGGGTACATTAAATTATGCCATCAATGGCAGATAGTAAGTGCTCAATAATGGTGATAAGTTTTGGCAGTATTAGTATTTGTTAATCCTAATAATTATAATTTATTACCAATGTGTTACTGTTGATCTTGAAATGGTTATTGTATTTTTATATTTTTTAAAAGGGAAGCAAAAAATTATTGATTAGGTTACTATGGGTCTTCGATAGTCTATGGACAAATAACATTGCTGTTTAGTCATAAACAAGATGAACTTTAATAAGTGAAGATAATGATATTGACTCTTGGAAATTCTGTATAACTTTTGGCTAAAAGCATCACAGTTCCAATTTGTTCATAATCTGCTTTATTATTATCTTTTTTTTCTTCTTTATGAGGATTGGGTGTATACCTTTTAAGTGGTTCCCTTTTTGACATTTTAAATGGCTGAGGAGGATTTGAGAATTTTCTTTCCAGATTAAAGTTTCTTTGGTATGAAGCTAATTGATCAGATTTGGGCCAAATAAGCTATTTGATCTGCAGTTGCTGAGATGGATTACTTTAGAAACTCCTTTAACATTAATTTGAGTATTTAATGGATTTTTATGAATGGTTTAATACCATCATTTTAGGACCTAGCTCACTGGAGTGTTGAAATACTTTCCAATATCTTTACTTTTTAAAATCTTTATTTCTTTGTGTGATCAGCAGTTAGGAAAGAAATATAACTTGGAAAGAATAAGATAATCAGACATTTCAAAGATTAAAATGTTTTATGAGTGGACATTGGAAGGGAATTTCCTGTAATTATGTGACTTGGTATTAACCTGAATGGAGTATGCTTTTGGATTGAGGCATGGAAAATAATATTTGCTTATAGTTTTGTATTCCATATGACTTATATTACAGATTCTCAAAGGCTGAGGATATGATAAAATAGTTTAACCCAAATCTGCATCAGGAATATCCTTCATTCAATAATACAGCAATAAAAAATGTCATTTAAAATTTTGTCATTTAGTTATTTGCATTTTTCTTAAATAATTTTTTCTTCTTCTAAATCTATTTTTGAAACCTAGTAATTTTTTATTTTTCAAATTTTATTGCAGCGCCTGATCAACTTTCTAGCAGGAGAACGATCATGGAGGTGGTGCCAGCTGAGGTGAATAGTTTGCTTCCAGAGGAGATAATGGACACTGGTATAACTTTAGTGGATGATGATAGTATTGAGGCTGTTATTGTTTCATCCCCAATTCCCATGGAGACAGAACTGGAAGAAATTGTCAACATAAATTCTACTGGTGACTCTACAGCCACGCCCATTTCCACGGAACCAATCACAGTGTACAGTAACCACACTAACCAAGTTGCAGTGAACACCACAATTACTAAAGCAGATTCTAATACCACAGTGAAACCAGCTTTTCCAAGTGGCCTTCAAAAACTTGGTGCTCAGACTCCTGTGACAATATCAGCCAATCAGATTATTTTAAACAAAGTATCACAGACATCTGATCTTAAACTTGGCAATCAGACCCTTAAACCAGATGGACAGAAGTTAATTTTAACAACTTTGAGCAAGTCTGGTTCACCAATTGTTTTAGCACTACCCCATAGCCAACTACCCCAGGCTCAGAAAGTCACAACTCAGGCCCAGTCAGGAGATGCTAAGTTACCACCGCAGCAAATTAAAGTAGTTACCATTGGAGGGAGGCCAGAGGTGAAACCTGTCATTGGTGTCTCAGCATTGACCCCAGGAAATCAACTGATTAATACTACAACTCAGCCCTCTGTGTTACAGACCCAACAGTTAAAAACAGTACAGGTAAAAAAAAAAAAGGGGGCTTATGAATTAAAATGCATGTTAAAAATTAAATCGATTCATAGTTGCGGTTGTAAGGCAATTAAATGCCTAGTTGTTACTGAATTCTTTTGAATGTTGCTTTTAGTAATTGTGTGGGATTTTTTTGTTTTTGTTTTGTTTTGTTTTTTGGGGTTTTTTTGTTGGGTTTTTTTTTTTTTTTTTTTGGTAAAATTGGATATGTCTAATGCTTTGAAAATTTTTTCTAGAGAACTTAGAGCAAACTTACTTTTGGTTAAATTCCAAATGAGTGTATTTATAGCTTTTTACTCATTTTTAAATGCATTTTATTCTTAGTAGTAGTTTAATTACAAGGATGTTCTACTGGTATAAAGATGCCAGAGTTGCTGCTGATCTGTCAAAAAAATCATTCAGACATGATGACAGATGGCCAAAGTCTAGGAAAACTTGCTGCTCTGAGAAATCCTCGGAGCCATAAATAGTACATGCTAGCCAATTTGTGCCTTTCTTTGGATTTTACTGTCCATTGTCATCATTCATGGTTGCATCATAGAAAAGGCAGTGCCAAGTGCTGGAAGGTAACACATAGGCTTTAGAATTGGATCACCTGGATTTGAGTCACCTTCCCTGCCACCCTACCACCTGTGGAACTTTGGATAGGTTAACTATCATCTCTGAGTTTTTTACCTTAGATGGAAGATGGCTCTTTGATCATGGTGAAATACATAGTAACACATAGTACTTGATATAATTCTCAAAACTTTGAAGAGCCCTCAAAGTGATTGATACCTGTTATTAATACGAATAGGACCTTAACATAGAAGGTTAACTGAACATGTATTAAATGGTTCCCGGTTTTTCATGCCCAAATAGGCCTTTTTTGGTCACCACTACTCTTAAAAATACAGTGATCCACTTAAGACCAGGGAACACAGATGCATTTCCTGTTTGAGAGTCACATTTTAAATAAAGAAGGCATGCACTAGAGAGCTAAAGCAGGTGTATAAGAAGTAGGAAGGTTTGGGGAACTATCTACTCTCAGCTGGTATTAGAAATAATGTTTTGGTGATTATGTTGGCAAAATAGAAGCTTATTTTCATTTAAGTTTTATTTAAGAACTTTGTAAGATTTCTCAAATCTTGTAATTTGCCCATGTCTCTTCTGCCACTATTAAACATTCAGTGTTCTTTTCTTTCTTGTTCATTATCATCTCACTTATCTCTCTGCTTTCCTTTTACTTCTTTTGAATGAGATGCGCTATCACTATCAAGCATCTTTTCTTCAGCTTGTATTTTTAATCAGGTTTGAAACTTGTTTTTATTAGTTTACCAGAGTTTATCTGGCTTTGGGGATATAGATCAAAACCATGTCACAAGAAACTGATAATGTACATCAAAATGTCATTTTCTTCATTTACAAGCAATGTATACATACTGTTTCAATCACCGGTTTATATGTATCCACTAATTTTATACTATAATCCCATAAATACTGAAAATAAAAACAAAGACTGGGATCTAATTCTTATAACTTCTTTTATTGTTGTTACTTTTATTAACTCTGATTCTATTTATTAAAAAAGAATTTATATACTAAAAAAAAACAATAACAAAAAAAAGAAACCCCATTTAGAATATAGTTTTACTTGTCCAGTATTTTTTAGGCCCCAAATCCTTCTAACTCAAAAGTAATCTACAAAGCTTGAAGCACAGAAAAAACAATGAGCTACACATCTTGTTTCCTTCTTAGGCACCAGAATATTTGGTTTATTTTTACATGATGTATATGATTCTCTGGTTTTTTTCCTAGACAGTCCTCAGCATTGTCTTAAGTTTAATCAGAGTATTGAAACTGTTAGGGTATGGACAGCAGGTAAGGGTGGAAGAAGGAGACCCATCTTGAAAAATGAAGGAAAGAGGTGACAGTTCAGGCCAGAGGCAATAACAAAGAGGTATAGTTACACTTAATTACAGATATATAAACCCTTTCCTATGTTTCTTGTGCATAGTTTTTAAGAGTAATAAATAACTAGCAGTCTGGAACAACATAACTCCTTACTAGTTCCTAAATCTATACAACACAGTGCCAAAAATTACCTGCATGTATTATTTGATCACATATTTGCCCATCCTATTTGTAAATTTCCTTTTTTGATTTATTTTTGTCTTAATCTGCTGATTACATAAATTTTTTTATAAATGATGTTTTATGCTTTATTTTACTTAATGAAGTAATTTTGTTCTAGGGTAGTCTAGAATTCATAATGCAAAAATCAGAGTTTCTTAACAGAATTGGAAATCATTATTTTCAGCAAAGCTTTACTAAAGAAATATAACCACAAGGGCAAGTTGAGATTGTTCATTTGAATAATGAATGCGCTTTTGGTTTTATTCACATTTTTTCCTGACTGGTAAGTATTCATATAGTCTTGTGATTGTGAAAATCAGTTAAAAATGGGGAATACTGTAAGTCCCTAACCTTTATTTTATAGCTAAGATTATTTGAAACTTGGATTTTAAGAACATTGATACTTCTGCCTCTTGAGATTATTAATATTAAGTCAATAGATGATATATTCTAACTTCCTTTAGAGTTTTAGGCCTGTAAACACAGTTGGGAAATGTATTCCCTTTATATCTCTCTAATTGCATCAGTACTTTAAATATAATTATGGATTTATTTGGCTGTATCAGAGTTTTGCAAGTTGGGTATTTTTAATACAATAATGGATCTCCTTGCTCTTTAAAAAAGTGATTTGTATTTCATTTAATTTTGTTTTGTCAGTAATGTGTTCTGAGTGTAAGAAAGTAATATAAGTTTAAGAATATGTGTAATTTAGTTTAATTTGTAGTTTGAGCCCAAAGCTAATATTCATCTAAGTTTGTGATCTATCACAGCTTCTGTTATATTTCTGTCATTCAAGTTGGTTGTGTTTATTCATTTTGAGTTATTATTTCCGATAATAATACTTTCAGGGCCTTAATTTTTATATCTACCAAAGTATAAAAATTAATATTTAATGTCCTTTTTGCTCTAAAAGTCAGATTTTTATCATACCTAAATTTCTGCTTCTGACTTTAAGAAGTTGTGTCTTTGCATACATTGATAATTTCAATATAAAAACATTGGTAACTCTACCTTCCTTAACTTGTGGAGAATTTTAGTTCAAGTCAACAGATGAGAAATGAGTAAAATATAGACTTTCCTTTCAAGGAATTTATAGTCTAGTAAACAGTATTTAGTAAATCATATTTTAGTAAATAAAATTTTACTAAATATTATTTTAGTAAATAATATTTCAATAAATAATATTTGCCTTTAGAAAAATCCTTTGTTTTGCCAAATTTGTCTCTTTGTATTCTAGGGCATTAACTTGTTCAGTTTTGCATTTATCTACCCCTGATATATACATAAAGAGTTGAACATCTAATCATAAGCCTATCTTTACTTTGCTTCCAAGGGTCAATGTTATTATATTTACAGGTGGCTTCTTCATTTGTACTATTCTTAACTTACTCTACTCCATCTTTTTATTAAATAATTTGTTGTTTTAAAAAATGTTACTGTGCCATAGTGTTTTATTATTAAATGTTTATTAAATAAACTTTATTATTAAACATTCAGCATTATTTTAAAATATTAATTTGGTTTTCATCATATGCATATATCCCAGAGATACAATGAAATGCAAAGGTGCTGCTGTATATTGGCTTAAGGATGTGATCATATTAACATTTTAATGAATGGCTGCATTTTAAATGTGTTTAACGTTAATACTTAGATATATTTTGTTAAATAAGCTGGTTTCACATGTATTTCTGCATATCAGTCTTTTGTCTAATTTTGATTGAATAGGTGTTTTATAGAAATAAATGGTCTTCATAGTTATTTATATATTTCAGATTGCTAAGAAGCCTCGAACACCAACCTCTGGTCCAGTAATCACGAAGCTGATCTTTGCAAAACCAATTAATAGTAAAGCAGTTACAGGACAGACAACTCAAGTATCACCACCAGTCATTACAGGTTATTTTTCTTTATAGTTTATTAAGCTATATATTTACCTTCCTTTTAGGTTTAAAAAAGGTGGTTCTGCCATTTTGAAATGTTTTGGTGGCACAGGTATAGCTTATTATAAACCAAAATAGTTAAAAAATGTTACACTTATTAAATGTGTGCTTCAGACAAAATGCCTTTTCTCAAAATCAGTCCATTATTTCAGTCACCTTAGTTTTTCATAAAATTTTACCATGAAAATAGCAGTCTTAAGCTCTGATAATACTAGCTAACATTTATAAGTGTTTACTCTGTGCCCGCATTATTCTTAGCTCTTTACATATAATGACTTATATAATC